GCAGGATCATGCCATCGGCGCTGCCGCACGCAACAATCGACAGATGAAAATTTGTCGGAACAGTCTTAGCCCAAACGTTCCGTGAGCCCTTCAACGCCACGACGTCCTTAGACTTTCGCCGGGATGCGAAGGACGTCTCGTCCATGTTGAAAATCCGATCCGCCGTAAAGTTGTGCTCCTTCATCACTTCGCCCATAGAGTCGAACAACAGCGCCACTCCTGCTTCGTCGATGCTGTTTCGGGTGGACGATATGACCTGTGCAACGCGGTTGGTCAGCTCTGGGTGTCGCTGCAAGAATCGCCGATACCAGCCACCCGTCAGGGAACCAAGAGGGTCCAAGTGCTGAAGAATTTGGTTGGCCTTGACCAAAATGGCATAGCGGCTAGTTGGGTAACCTCGGGATTGCATCCCCGAAATCCATGCCACCAGGTCTTCCTCACATGACTTCGCGAGGGTTGGTTTTGGTCCACGGCGTTGGACGACGACTTCCTTGCCGGCCTTAATGAGTCGAACCCTGCGCATGACAACTTCGTACGGAATATTGGCAGCGTGAGCGACTTCTGTCCCACGCATTCCTCCAACGACCTCCTGGACTGCTTGCTCCAGGTCTTCGGGCGTGTACCGGCGCTTCTTGCCGGGAGGGGCCATCGTGGGCGCGAAGACGAAAGTGCCACTGACAAAGTGATTATGTTTTGCAGGTTTTGCCGCCAAACAAAATAGCTTTCTGATTGGTGGATTTCGATACGACTTTTATTGGCACATACCCCAACAATTGGTATTCTACGTTAGATCCGGTCGGTGTTGTACCAGTGGCTATCAATGAATATCTTAAAAGCACCAGATAAGTACTAGTATAGAAGCACGCGTCTGTAGCTGGTGCTTTGGTTCCAGTTGCAGAGGCGTGCTACTTTAGATGCAAGCTACTCCTTGCATTCGTAGCTACGCCTGTCCGAACGTCCTACAGATAGTAGAACAACTGAACTAACACAATATGAGTTTCAATCAATTCAATGCTTCGTATGTCTCTGTCGTCCTTACTAGCCCCAACGCTTCAACGATGAATGACCCGTGGGACGACTTCACAATGACCTCGCCGATCATCCACGAAGTCCACGAATTTGGCTCCATCTAGTCTACGGGTACCGTATGTTTGGGCGAAAAAGCTTCCAGTTTTTCATAACTTCGCCAATACTGGCGTCACGTTGGCGGTGTGATATGTGCTTCGACATTGCCCGGGCACGGAGGTATCCCAACTCCATATACCAAGTCGCACAGCCAACTGCCTTGTCCATCCAAGACGAGCTGTAGCCCATGCCGAGCCCATGTTGGAATCGCCTTGCTTGATTGGTGGAATGGACGAAACTATAGGGTTCAGTCGATGGTACGCACTGTACACGGCTCACATACCAACTACAACTGAGTTGGACTTTTGACGGTGTTGGTTTACTGCAAACGTGATTCGCGTAGCCAGTGCCCATGCTCCATACAATTGGCAATTATTTGATTCTCAACTGCATCGGTGTCGATGCATTTGTTTTGACCACCATGAGATTTGGACTTTCCACTGTAGATCACACCACGCTTGATGCAGTCGGTGACGTTGACGAAAACAGCAAAGACATGGCGTCTTTTGCCGTGTTGTAAATGGAAGTGTCGAAAAAATGTTACTCACTGCACTATGCACGCCGTGCCATGCACTGCTTGGTGGAACACCCAAGTTGTCCAAAAAGTAGACTGCCCAAGCCACACGGCGTTGACCGACGGACGACGTAGGAGTGCTGCGCACGTTTGTTGTTGCTGCTTTGATCACGGTGTCGATAGTTCTGGTGACTCGTCGTAGTCGCTGTTCTAAGATGGGCATATTGGCGCACTTATGGACACCTTTTCGTCGGCGTCCCAGTGTTCGTGAACGTGCTTTTCGTGGCATTTGAACTTGACTGCAAATTCCTGCCCATATTAACAGATGGAATTATTATTATGAAGTTTATTTAAATTCGCTTGGAAGTCGTGTGTTTTCGAATGTTTCAGAAAAGTCGATCGTCATGCCAATTTTCAAAAGTGGGCACCCTACTCCTCTGCCAATATTTCGATTCATGACATGCTGACTAGCCCACACCACGTATGACATTATTGCGGATGGCGTGGGCTAATCCGTTGTTAATAATGTTTAAAATTGGCTGAGGAGTAGGCTCCCCGATCACCCGGAAGCCATTTCGCCCAAACATACGGCAACGTGACGGATCTGTGATTTGCCGAAAGATCGGTGATTTGCCGAGCTGCACTACCCAATAGAATTCAAGAATTGATATGATTGGATAAAATAAAAGCCCGCAACAACTGGCACCTTCAAAACGTTATGGTTGGAATAGTACAAACTTGAAGAGGGTGCTCGCCTGTTTTCATACCAAGTATGACCTGTAAAATATTTTTACTGCGTACATATGATATTGCTCTATAAATTAATAATTATGTTTCATCAAAGCCGTAAAACTCCCTTACTGAATTCAAGGTTAAATTTCGGCAAATCACCGATAGCCTGTTTGAGCGCCAAACTTTGACATTTTATTTGCCCTGATTCAAACTCTTACACTTGATTTGTATTCGGACGATGAGATAAAGCTCATAAAGAAGAGTTCGACACTGCAACTTTCACGTCGAGATAATTTGAACTTCGCCAGATATGGTCGATTGAATGTAGCTCAAAATCGGCAAATTACAGATCCGTCACGTTAGGGAAAAATTGTTATCACCGAAATCGTCGATACAAAATCCCTTGCTTTTACTTTGCTTTCAATTTTTACGGTAAAAGAAAAAGAGAAGTCATCTCCGAAATCTCCCTATTATCTCCATTCCCAAGCCGTAACTTGTTAGAGTAATTGATGTCCGATATTTGACTGCAATTATCAAAACGTGTCGGGTAAAAACGTTAAATTAGTGGCAGAATTACCTTGTTTAGTCATAAATATCGGGTATTTAGTGTCTGATGTCGGGTATTTTCGGACACGTCAAACCTTTGATTTTGTATAACCTTTCATCGAGCACTCCTCTATCAAATGATAAAGTACCACTGTTGCAAAAATCGGGGGTTCTGACAGTGAGTGTTTTATTTGGCCTAACTTGAAGCTAGTGATTCTGAGTAGTATCTTATTTGGCCTAACTTGAAGCTAGGGATGAGAAAATCTCTCATTTGAAGAATTGAAAGTACTTCAAGCAAGATTATTCGTAAGTATTGATACAGTACTTGACCTAAGCTGTTGGCCCCGTCCTAAGCGGGTTAATACAATTGCTGCATACAAATTCCAAGCTTGCTTCACGTAATTAAAATAACGATGATAGGATAACAACACCTATGTGAGGAAGGTAGACCTTGCGTTGGTTGTGAAACACTACCTCCGATTGGAAATGATTGATAGGTTTACCGGTTACATACAATTATATTATACAAGTATTTCCATATTTACTGTACCACATATCTCCACCTAAACCTCTATAAAGTGATAAGGGCAGGAGAAATCAGATATAAGTGTACAGAAATTATACGGAAGCACAGTGAAAATTGAGCATCATTCCTGATCGATTTTGACAATAACTTCTAAGACATTCTAATTAGGACTCTCTAAGCATTATTGTAACAGTAAAAGCGGATATCTAGTGAAATTCTCTGGAGGTATACCCATTGTCAAGGCAATAACCTATTTTGACTGAGATACAGTTGATCAAGGCTCAACAAAGTGAAACCTATCAATCATTTCCAATCGGAGGTATATTGTACTATACATTACGCTGGTGCGCGATTTTACTGAATTTTCGGTTTTTAGACCCCCCTTTTTTTAAATTACAGCCGGTTCGTCGGGGGGGCGGGCGGGTTTGAAGGGGAGATATACGTGTAGTACATCTATGCAAGAATCTTCGAGTCGCGTGGGCAGTTTCAATTTGCTGCAAATTGTAAGTGGTAAAAAATGTGGTCGTGGTGGTGAAGTTTGAACTCACGCAGGGTATACTGTACTTTTGGCACAAAATTACGTACCTAGACCTCTCGGCTATATTGCAAGTGCGTTTGAATGGAAAGGTCCACAGTATATGCATAGGGAGTTCGACGAAACCCGTATTTTTTTATTGTATTTTATATAATACTATGTAGTACTCCGAGTACTACGTAGTAGAGAGTTTTCGGAACGCCACTTTTTGAGATAAGATAGCCACATTTACTGTAAAAAATTATAAACCTCCTTCGGAATCTCGGGAGCTGTTGAGTGAGATAGGCGGCTTGTTATCTCAAAAGTGTCTCAAGTTTTAAGATAGGAGAATACGGATACCGTACTGATAACTCGGTGACGCTACTCAACTACTTTCGCCCTTGATGACTCGTCCGTCGAAACTGGTGGAGCGGCAAATTGACGCTCGTTCGGATAATATCGGTATCTGAATCTGTAAAAAGTATTTCCCAAAAGTTGTGAATATTTTATTTCCGGATCTTGAATTCTTCACCGAAAGTTTTACTTTTTCGACTTTTGAGATGAGTTCCACAACTTGAAACTTACCTCAAAAGTGCTCTCAAATATGATTGGCTTTGAGGAGAACAAAAATAACAACCAACACAACATTGGACACCACATGGTTTGAATTATACGGATATGTATAATGAAACCAAGATAAAAAAGTTCAAGGCGGCAATTAGGAGGGACAAAAAAATCTCGAGTTTGGCCACTTGGTCGTCGATTTTAAAATCTTTTGCAACTCCAGGATTTTGAGACATCGTATGTCAGGAAAATATCCGCGACACGCTTGGCCATTCTGATGACCTTGGTACTACCGGAATACGTACTCGTATTTGCTACCCTTATTTCTTGTCATTATTCGCACCCCGACTGCTTGCGATTTTCGGTATCGACTCACTGACAGTACCACGATATACCCTGCAACTTTCAAGGAATCAAAATCCCACCTTCTGCGGAATTCGTGGAGTCACAATCAATTCATTTTCAAATTCGCGTTGGCCATGGCAACCCACGATAACAAGCCAGCGGACTTTGAGGAACGCGTGTCATACGTCCACTCGGCCACAACTAAAGACATTGATGAGTACGCCGAAGCGAAATCTCCCAAGGGCCTGGAAGAGGGGGCGCTGGCCGAAGGGGGGGCGCTGGACGTGTTCTCCCGCGAAGCGTTTGCCCTGTATATCCAATACGGCGCCGTCGGGGTCATCTTCGGCATGATCCCGGTGCTCAACTACCCCATCTTCAACATCTACCTCAACTTGGAGGGGTACCAAACGGCGTCGTATCTTGTGTTGACTAGGATCGGGTGGTCGTTCAAGGTCATCTTTGGCCTGTTGTCGGATTGCGTAACCATCTATGGCTACCGTCGCAAGTCGTGGATATTGATCGGATGGACCATCGCGATGATCTGTCTGAGTGTGTTGGCGTTTTTGCCGTTCGGCGAGCCGTTTTGCAATCGCGCAAAGACCAAATACTGCAGAGAGGCGTTGGAACAGGTGCCGGCGGCCGAGCTGCAGTACTTCAACGTGGACGCCCCCAACAACGGCACGTTCTTCATCCTTCTGTCCATGTTTATTGCGTTTGGGTACGTCTTGGCTGCGAGTGCGTCGGACGCGATGGTGGTGGAGTACGCCCAGCGAGAACCTGAGGCCATCCGCGGCCGCATCCAGACCGCCGTCTACGTCGTGCGCACGCTCACCGGCATCCTCGCGTACTTGGTGATTGCGTTCGGACTGAACGGCCCTAACTACGCCGGATCGTTTTCGTTTGAGTTGTCGCCGAATGCTCCATACGGAATTTGCTTGGTGCCGTGTGTGCTGGCGGTGCTCTCGACGCTATTCCTCCTCGTGGAGAAGAAGACTGAGCCCTTGTCCTTCACCCAATGGTGGGGCACATTTTGGGAATCTCTCCAGAGTCGCGTGATGTGGCAAATCTGCTTGTTCCGATTCCTGAGCAACTTTTTCAACAGTGTCACAACCACTGCGGGGTTGCCCATGACGACGTACTGGGCGGGGGTCGAACCCCTCAACGATGCGCTCTTCAACATATTTGGCAATATGCTGTATGCTGGTATTTTGGCGATTGTGGGCAAATGGGGGCTTAACTGGAACTGGCGCTGGACCATCGCCGCCGGCACCCTCGGGGTCGTCGTCATCGACAGCTTTGTCGTGTACATGATCATCTGGGACGTCGTGCGCAACCAGTGGTTCTACACGGGTGTGGCGTTGGCCGAAAACGTTCCCTACGGCCTCCGCTTCATCGTAGCTACTTATATGGCTGTGGAAATCGCCGACAAAGGCAACGAAGGCGCCATTTATGGCCTCGTGACCACTGTGAGCAGCCTCGCGGGGCCGTTTGCCAGCATCTTTTACAAGTACGTCAACTCGTTCTTCAAAGTACGGCAGAACGACATCAAGTCCGACACGCTCGAGGTGCGGTGGGACGTCTCGTATGTGCACATGATTTCGTACGGATGCAAAGTGGCTTCGTTGTTTTGGCTGTTCCTGCTGCCTCCCCAAAAAGCGGAAATTCAGGCGTTGAAGGCACGCGGTGGCAAGAGCAAATTGGCGGGGGTGATCCTCGTGTCCTCGTTTGTCGTCTGCGTGTCGTTCACCGTGACCACCAGCATCATGTCCATCTTCCCCTTGACCAAGTGCTACCGCATCGCAGGGGGCAACGGAGTGTTGGACCCCAAGACGGGCAAGTGCCCCCTCAAGTAAAATATGCCTTGCATTTTGAAGTAAAGTATAATGAACATAGCATATCTCGTGTTATTCCTGGCTGTATTCAAATGAGGCGATATCGTCATCGAAGGTTTGCTTACAGGGATAAATAAAGTAGCGATCACTGCGCCACGAACTGGGCGGGGGTCGAACCCCTCAATTTGGGCAACTCAACTTGATCTAACGTTACGTTCATAAAAATACTTGATTTTTTTGGTAGCACAAATGTTATCTCGTACTAGAATATTTACTTGTCTTAGTACTAGTAGTACTAACACTACGTGAGTAGTACATACCCCTAGTAAACCCCAAAGTATATTTACTTAAACATTAGTAGTGCTAACACTACATGAGTAGTAAATACTACGTAGTACTCCGAGGTTCTGTAATCCAACTTGTAGTGCAGAAAGGAATCATCACTATTAATAACTAACGTTACATGTATACTACGAAGTACTACGCAATAACTACTAGTATTAATACTAAGAAGTAACTACTATTAATAGTATTAATACTACGAAGTACTTCGAAGTACTACGTAGTAACTACTATTACTAGTATAAATATTAATACTACGTAGTACTATTAATAATAATATGACTATTAATACTACTCCAGAGTACTTAGTACTAGTAGTACTAGTAGTAGTAGTACTTAGTAAGTGTACCATAGCTGTACTCAGCATTGGCATTTTAGAAACCATATGATTTTATTTGCTCGGAAATTCACCAATGACTAACACATGTCCTTGTGCCTATTAACAGTGGTCGCTGGCGTCGAGGGGACAAATGTGAGTTTCTGAAGAAATATTTGATCATTTTTATTGAAATTTTGTATGTGTGCTGAACTCACCGCCACAAAGAAAACCTTCTCGAGATGTCATACGTGGAAATGAATACTCTGTCAGTTATGATACTAAACGCACCTGAAATAGACCACTTTACAGTGGTCGAACGCATCGAGCGACCTTCCGGATAATCTATCAAATTTCAGGACCTTCAACCTCTGGAGTGCTTATGCAAAGTACAATATTCATTTTGAGAAGAATTGACTATTACAAGCATTACACATCACCATCGTAGTCGGCAAAATCGCAGTCGTCGCAACTGTCGGCATCACTTTCGCTTTCGCTCTCGGACGAGAATGCGGCCCCAGCGGCATCATCGGCATCGTCGACATCATTCAGGTAGGCTGCCATTTCTACCACTTTGCGATCGGTATGGTTGATGCAATCGAAAACCACGCTACTCGGTAGGCCGGCGAATTCACGATCCAGCCGCTGGCGAACGTCCGGGAACTTGGTCGAGGTATTGTACTGCCGCCCAACAGCCCCTTTGACATACGCCCAAACCATCTCGATAGGTTGCAGGTCAGAATGGTACGGTGGCGTGAAGACCACCTCATGGCCGCGGTCCTTGGCCAACTGCACGATCACAGGTACGATGTTCGCTGCAATATGGGTCTTCAGCTTAGCCCAAAGCGTCGATCGGAACTCCTTCACGTCAATTTCGATTCCATAGGCTTCGCAAGCCTCCGCCATTTTTCGTTTCGTCCACGAGCCCTTCGGCGTGTTGTCGGGTAGGCCCTTGTGGTACTTCGCGTTGTCTAACACGATGATAGCATTGGACTTTCCCAGGGAATCGGCTTCATCAAGGAGTCGCTGGAACCACGCCACAAAGTACGCATGGTCAAACATTCCATGGTAGTCCTTCGTTTTCTTACGACCCCCTTCGAAGGCTTCGTAGGTTCACAGCTTGGAGTTCTCGCGCCCATCGGCCAATGAAGCACAACCGCCGTCCTTTGTGCTTGGGTTTGGCGTCGGTGGCGTCGTCAGGGTGATATATACTGTCGTTATGACGAGCATAATGATGATGAATATAGGATTCATCCAAGTATATTACCGGCCGAGGCAGTGAAGACTCAATAGCCGTCGTCATATATTGAACATATTTATCCCTAGCACTAGCCACAGCGTCAGAAAGTTTAACAGAATGGTTACCCTTTCGTTGGCCACGTCGAAATCCCTTCTTTACAAGGAATTTCTGTACTAGTCGCAAACATGCATTCACAGCTTTCTTGTTTTGAGGATCATACTTCACAATACCATGTTCGTACAATAAACTCATCACATCTTTTGCCACTACTCGTGTGCGAGTTGACCTACGCTCACGAACAAATGACTGAATGATGGACAAGACCTCTTTGGTGTCTGGAATGCGTGTATTGCGG